CTGGGCACCACTTGTGTTACGCCCTTTTGACTCTGAAATGCACTGCAGGGTCTGGTATTACTCAGAGCCACAAGGGCGTATATGTACATACGCCCTTCTGGCTCCAAACAGTACTCCACCTTTTTGGTAAGGTCTTTGTTGTTTTATTGTGGACTTTTATGGGCCTTTCTGCCTCGGGCGCCATAGACCTCCATTATTTGAATGTCAGCAGACAGCAAGAAGCCTCCCAGATCTCCAGATGCATTTGAGATATCAAAAAAGTACTCCAGAGTGTTGTTCAGCATGGGGGGGAGTAGAAAATGAAGGCTAATCATGTTTTGGGTGTACTATTCCTTTAAGAAAGTCTATGATGGCATCTTCAACTGTTGTTTGTCTCTCTGAGACTTTCATGATGTGGGTTGCCAGGGCAACAGGTCTATAGTCTCTGAAGACTGTTTGTTGAGTCTTATTTGGTCCTGGAACAGGTTAGGAGGTCTTGCACATCACTGGAACTGTCTCCAGGGTCAGACAAAGTGTGAAGAAGTGCTGTAGAATCCTAAAGAGCTGCTCTGTTCAGGCCTTCAGGACTCTGGGCCTGACACCATTAGGACATCGTGTCTTATTATGATTCAGTCTCTGCAGTTGTCTCTTTACTTTACTTCTAGAGACAGAAAGATGGAAGGCGGAGGGAGCCACGCCATCTTATAATCTAGCAAACAACAAACTCATAGAAGCAGGAGAGTCAATGTTAGAGGCGCGTCCATATGACTGGGCAGCAGAGAAAGATGCTGAGCTTGTTCCTGAACAGAACACTGGATTCAGTTCATCGTCTCTGGGAACACTTTCATCTGTCTGAACATCTTTCTGCTTGAAGACTGGGATCTATTTCATCACTGACCACATTTCTATGATTTTGTTCTTCTGAAGCTCGTTTTCCCACAAGTATTGTGAATTGGCCCTATATAAATAAACTGAATTATATCGAATTGAAATTAATTAAACAACCTTTTACCATCATTACTGTTTCCCCCTGCCTTCCACACTATACAAAAAGGACAGTTGACTGAACCTGAAAAAACTAAGGCAAAAAAGCTGCAAAGTGTTTTTGAGTAAAGTCAGAGAATAAGCTTGTGCTGAGTGAAACTGCACCAACAGGATCAATCAAAAGCAAGATACTAAGTTAGGCATAAGTTAGGCTAACTGACACAGTTCTCAGTTTTCTCATGTATGTATTTTTAACTTAATGACATTTTTTAGGTATTTTTATTTCAATTATAATACCCTGACCTGAAGGGATGCGAAATTGTTTTATGGTTCGTTAAATTGGGCTCATATGAGGCTGATTAAAATCTTGCTTTGCTCTTCTGAATTACATTTATAGAAAGCTATATCTTTGTGATATTTAAGAACAGTACCAGCACCTATGTTTTTCCACATAAAGCACTTAAACATGTTTAAATAAAGTAACAAAAAATTAACAAAATACTCAAAGTTGTCATCAGTCACATCTTGAAAATTATCCAGGGTTTTAGAGGAAGTTCTTCAGTTTTCATTCTAATAATTTAGAGATATGTTGATGTAACTGTGAAAAAAAAAAACTAGAATTGCATTTGCTGGTTAATACATTCTTTTTTCCCTTTTCTTTTAACATGACCTGCCTTTAAACAGAGCACTGGAGATTGATAAATGCTGAAAAATAAACCAACAGATTTATTTTCACAAGAGGTTCCACATGGCAATCCTGTATAAAACTTTATTAGAGTTGGCTTTGGTTAACAAAAACGCAATAGATAATGAAACAGAAAAGGAAGCAAAAAGGGGAGACTGGGCAATAATTCAGGAGAGGGAGAAATAAAAGTAGACAGAAGGGAGGAGGACAAAGAGAGAAAAAAAACAGAAAATACAGAATTACTTCTCAAGGTTTATTTCCACTCTTGCAAGAAATGAGAAGGAAGAAAAGAAAAAAATACACAGCACACCAACCACAACAAAAGAGAGAGAGAGAGTAAGCACATGTATAAAACCATCAAAAGCAAAACCTATGAAGATCAAAAATGTGTTCAGTCATATATGGTTGACACTGCAGCTTAATATGAACCATTCCTGAATATCTGGGAATCCCTGGACCCAAACCCCTGTTGTGTATTTGCATAAGTGTGCTTATATGGTTTCTAAGGCTTCCTAGCAGGAAGATGTGCTCAGTAGCACGTGTTAGGGGCCCCAGACCAACCCTGAAGACCCCAGAACAGACACAGAGGATGTTGGAGTTCGGTGGCACCCAAGGAAGCAACCAGCCCTGCATGGAGAAAAACACCATCGCTCCAGCGGAGGGGTCTGCAACCTTTCATTTCTAAAGAGCCATTTAGCCTTGAATCCGACCAAGTAAAAGCTGTTTAGGGCCTTAAAATATAACCTGTGTGAAAAAAAATTTTAATATCTCATATGGGAAATTAGTTGCCAACAAATTATGTATTTTTAGCTTTTAAAATAATATTGAACACATAAATTCCAAGCTAATTCAAAGAAAAATGCTTCTAAAAACTGGTTCTGGTTCTTTTAATGTCATTCTTTTCCATCTTGTGTTTAAGAAAAAATTTAAGGCTAGTACATTATTTAGCTCTTTATTTACATTTTAGCCACTATTAAGAGCCGCTGTAGGGGGTCCAAAGAGCCGTATGTGGCTCTGGAGCCGCAGGTTGCAGACCCCTGGTCCAGCGGACAGCGGTACCAGGCTAGAGCAGGGAACATAGGCTGGGGGGGGGGGAACAGACCCACGTAGGTCTGGGGCCTATTGACGGTCAAACACCCAACCTGACAAGAAGACAACAACAAATTCACAGGCATCCAGACACCTTCACGTATAACAGTAGACACCATAACCTTATCCTCCCAGATCTTGGCCCCAACCCCCTGGAAGGGAACCAGTGTGCACAGTTAGCATGAACTGGTCTACTAGTTCAGGTAGATCTCAGGTAAATCTGGCACAACCTGAGGGATAGAGCACAGATGCAGCCTTGGTCAAACACTGCCCAGATGTCTGACCACTGTACCCCAAGAGGGGGGTGAAACCCTTGTGGTGTCAGCCATGACCTACCCACAGTTTCCCTCAGAGAGGTGGCAAGTGACTTCCACGCTGGAAGAAATCAATCAATATTTCCAAAATAACCAATGAATGCTCTATAGTGCCAAAGATAGAAAACATGATATAAGACCATTAAAATATGTAGCTCTGTATTAATGTTCTCAGCTTGGCCTTTTTGAGTGATTACCGCCCAGTGGAACTCACTCTGGTAATCATGAAGTGCTTTGAGAAGCTGGTTCTTCAGCACATCAAG